TTTCTCTTCCCTAATACGCACGTTCATAGCTATTATTTTTTACACACAATTTTGTACTCGAGTGTTTCCATCACGTTATTTAAATGACGTGCTCTAGAACGTCTTACAGCACTCTCTTGTGTGTGCGTGTATGTTTATATTATAAATGCCTAAAATGTTCTGGTGTCAATACAGACACATTTTATTGTAAGTGCCTCACGTCGTGAATCCCAGTGGCCACATTAATATTAGCCGAGTTTCCCGTGTCAATTTTTTACGTTAAATATGCAGACACTCACACGTGTGCAACACGTTGTGTTGTCGATCAGTTTACCATCCGCTTGACTCCCTTATGCAAAGCAATCTCTTTTTTGTGTGTGAAATACAGGAGGGATGTGCATTCAAAATGGATTTCACACACTCTAAGAAATTTGAAGCGTCTGCTTTTCCGCAAAGCACTTTGAAGAGCTGATTTCTGATATCTACGGAAGCAGCTCAACGAATGACGATGTTGCAAATCAGTTTAAGCAAAGCAACATAGTCTGGGCAATGACATTGGATAAGAAATTTCATGCTCAATTACAGTTAGAATGTTAATAACTATTACAATTACAGCGCAGACCGGGTCTTGAGGTCTTAGCGCGTGTTGACCTTTGTCATTTGCCGTAGAATGTAGCGACTGGTTCCCTCATGTGCATTGCAAGTACGTAGACACCCTTGATTTCTTGGGGAGCGCGATGATTCTCAAATGTAAAGCAGCGCTCAATTGCACCCGACAGGGTGACAGCGGTGGACCTGTGGTGCAGAAAAAGGACGATCGTTGGCTTCTGCAAGGTGTGCTGTCGGGAGGTCCCCATGTCTGCGGCGACAAGAAGTACCCCATGCTCTTCACCGAAGTGTCAAGTTTTCTGGAGGAGTTCATCTATCCGTTAATGACAGCAGAAACGCGGAAAGAAAAGGCACTTCTATGTTCACTTTTATGACGAGGCGATGCGATGAGTGTGAATTGGTGACGGAAAGGGGACCTTTCTAATATTATATGTTGCTCGACTGAATGGCAATAAATGTCGAAATAAATAGGACACTTGTACATACATACATCATACACTTTATATGGTCGTTCGTTTTCCTCGTAATTGGCTCCGATGCGGCCATTGCGGCCAACCACAAACTGTGATTACACTCAGAGTGTGGTCACCGAGGTTTCGGGTCAAAATAATAATACATTGTTAGATTGAATTGTGATACTTTCGAGCACGATTGAGGGTTTTTCTTCGAAGGTGCTGTGTAGACTGACACAGTGTCGACAAACGAGTCCGCATTTGCCCACACCACGTGTCGGCAATGCGCGTGCGCAGAAACAAGACCCGCGTCAAGTGATACGTCTACGCATGGGCCGCCTTAACAGCAGCGCCACGGCAGCTGCGTGACGTCGCAGATGCGTGTTGCTGTATTATTACCTGCTTCCTTCCTCTATTGATCTTGATTTCTTTAATAAACCCAGGATAATTGGCGTCTAATAGCAAGGCCCGAGGCCCATACCAAAAGTCCTAATACACCTAACAATAAAACCTGTGGCAATGGGAGATGCACACACACACATACACACACACAAGAAAGAATAGTAGGCACACGCGCTTAGAAGGGTGGAGTATGAAAGGTGATGAGGGAGCGGTTCAGAGAATGCGAAGGAAGTGTCTAGCGTCCCTACTATATTCCTTGGGGTTTGTCTCCCCTGCCAGGACGATGGTCGTTTGCGTGTTTTGTGGTGAACGCAATAGCTGCAGAGTTCTTATAAGAAAAGATTGTCGGTGATGATCCGCACGTGCCAACCGGGATTGAAGTGCACAACAACAGGTGTATCGGATGACGCATGTAGCTCGTAAGTCAAGCTTAAAGTCACCCAGAAATAGCGGCCATACAAATATAGCTTTGTCTCTGTTGCCAAACTGCCTCATCCACTGAGTCTCCAACAAGCGTCATCATGCAGTGTGCGGTTCATCGAAGTAACCAATGCCATATAACTTCACAAGGGGAGAGAATCGCCGCACATACGACATTGCGCAAATCGACCGGCATTGAAATGCTGAAGTGCTGATGCTGTATTATTATTATTTTGAAAAATGTCTTTATTTACAAGTTTCTTTCTAATCTATGTTCTACTTATATTAGAAAGAGATTGAAAACTTCCTTCTTCATAAAGATTCGCGTCGAAGGCGGTGCTGCGACGGGCACCTCGGGCATGTACACTCACCAAGGGAACTTGGACGTAGCTTTGACGGCAGTCTTCTGATCACTTCTAAAATCCGGTTCTGTTCCGTGCAATACAATAAAATATTTGCGCTTGTGTACTGTTTCCCAATTGCGCATCGACTGCAGGACCCGCCAACGTCGACTTTTTTTTCGTCAGCGTTCTTCAGTACCTGGTTCTCAAATTCGACTCGGACTGCTGGGAAGGCGGCCGTTACGGTTCGGAATCTCCGGAGATGCACAGTAGCTCTCCAACCGTATCCGTTCCGTAGTGGGTTAACGTATTTCTGCACAAGATCACACAGGACCCCTCGTAATTGTAGTGCTCTAGGGTTTTTTCTTACGGAGTGTGGTCGCGATTTGCTCTTTGGCCTGTTGGAGGTGTAGGGACAAGAAATGAGCTTCCGAGCAGTGTGCTGCGCTCTCTCGTTCCTCTCAATTCAGGTATGACCCAAAACCCCAAAAAATGGTTACTCTGATTCCTCTGGATTTGAAGGTCGTCGGTCTTGCCCTGATCTTCCGGCACGTGTCTATGTCCTCCTTAGATTCTGTATCCATAAATACGTTTTCGGAGCCCTCTAGGGTTAGGAACTCGGCTTCCACGCAAGTAGGATAGATCTAAGTACTAATACACTACATCACGTACATTTTGCCGATTTCACCTCGTATTAACCTACGTCAACACAGTGAAAAGCCTTGCTCTGTTTCAGTATATCTGCATACTGGAGGCCGAGGATTATGGCACTAGGTTACTTCATGTCAATGTTAAAAACGGCTATCCCATTGCTTTACGTCGTAGCTATCAACGCACCATTCTTTTCTCGTGGCAACATAGTTGATTCATTAAAGCCTCACTTTATTGGGCTGAAGTGAATCCTTTTAATTGTTTTAGCTGATCTAATATTAATTAACGAAGGTATTTAAATGTATTTTTGTACTTTTGTCGCTTCTGTAGGAAAAATACTTTAATAACTGTGATCCAGTGTTAGTGTCTATGGAGTACCAGTCTATGTCATGGGCACATGCCGTGGCTACGTAATTTCGTTACTAACTTTTCTGCAAAAGATTAGTAAATTTGCGTACTGGAAAACCATATTTCTAAATAAATAAAAAGTTAGCGCATTTCAGAACAAGCACAACTTAATTATTGCTAATGTACATCAGTATGTTAGAAGTCGTTGTGTGGCAGTGATTCTGCCTTGAGGCTATTTTTTTATAACATGCGCGTCGCACTGGTACTGAATGAGGTGAGCATGTCCGAAATTTATTGCAGAACCTTATCGCCAACTATAAAAGTAATAAAGGTCCTACGTTTTTTTGTTGGAAAAGAAGCGCCGATTCCAGAAAGTTATCAACCCATGTTTGTCAGACAATTCATACTTGTTCAATCAGCAACGAAATGGGCTCGTGTGAAAAGGCGCTTAGCTTGCAACTTGAGCTATATCTTTTAATAAATAACGTCTCAAAGTGACACTTCTCTCAACAAGTGCCACGAACAAAAGAAAATAAAATAAACAGATCTAACTGCATAAACTTATCGGCGGGATTCATTCTTCACACACATTGCTATAAAAGCTACAAGGGCAGATAAAACACCCGATTTCTGTCTGATAGCGACACACGCAATGTCGCACGATAAAACGACTTATGACGCTCTAGCGATTGCTTCATATAAAGGACACCATATCACTAGTCGCAGGGCAGTTTTATCTATAATCGCAGGCGTGTAAGGTTCCCACATAAAAACATCTGCACGGCGGTAAACAAACTGCTCACGTGCTGACAATAGATTCAGGTTATGATTAAGAAACCTCTGTCCTGCATTTTTTTCTTTGAACTCCTGCTTGTCGCACTTGGACTGGAACTAGGTAAGCTCTATTTATCATTTATCTATTTGTTTATTGATAGTGTTAGCTTTTCGGGGCTGTTGGAGGAGTTTAGATGTACACATGAAAAAAAAAATTCTTACGCGTCGCACAATAATAAAAACGACAAACTGCACTCAAAGCACACGTCAGTATAAAAACAACTGTAGTAAATTTACACAAAAATAATTAAGAAACACGTGCTATATATGGATGACGTACGAAACTTGAACTCTAAGCGTAAAATATCGTCTACAGGGCGATTGCCAGTACACACAAATGAATAAATCACAATGGGAGGTATAGTTAACTTTCAATCTACGATTGACTCAATCACTTTTCAAACACGCCTGTGTTGACATTGTTCACTATTTCTGGATGCAGAGATTTCCCATCTAAAATATTGTTCCAGGGAAGCACGAATACATAAAACAATCGTCGTTCCGTTCAATTATCTTCAATTTCTACTATGGCAATGTTGGGTCAATGTTAACGTTCTTGATGGTGATTTTCGTGCTGACTATATGACCATGCATGTAAATTGCATACAAAGGGGCTAAATTTTGGTCAATTATCAGTTTAAAAACTTTGTCGGCGACGTTTGTGTTAAAAGTTATGTTAGTCGACGACATTCATAGCCTTTACTATGATATGTACCAGTGTGCTGCCGTGTCTCTTGAAATATTGTGTGAGTATAGAGCCATTTCATAATATTGGTTCGGAATATACACAATAAAAAATATTCTCTCTATATTACATACATCCATGAAAGAACTAATATAGTGACTGTGTCAATAAGGACATTCTTTGTTTTATTGCTACTTCCTATTTTTCAAAGTGGATCTATCCACATCCCCGATCAATAAACGCTAACATGTAAAAAACATCGGCCTTGTATCAGATATTTCAAAAACTAGCGTGTGCCTGCACGCCGTTCCAAAGAAATAGATTAAGGAAACATATAGAAGCGCCCACATTTGGTTTGATTGTGTTAGCATTTAAGAATCCGAGGCCTCTCAATGACAGGAATCTCACGCGTACTGCGGGAAACAGTTTTATTGAGAGGCTTTGCTTTTATATTTTCATAAATACGTGTTTTTCTTTCTGATTTGTTTACGATAATTGACATGTAGAACAAAATCAGGCGAGAATACCATTTACCATAAGCTATGCCCCAGCCCAAACCGTAGATGCTGGCATTTGAAGGCGGTTCTTCGCAATGTTCAGGAAGGCAGATTGGGCGAATATACGTTGTAAAATTGACCGGTTCTTTTAATTTCAATAGTGCAAGGTTTTTCTGTAAAATAAAAAGGTTAATTCTAACAAATACAAATCAGTTTTTTTTTAACAAGAATACATACCACATTAAGGGTACAGTTGTCCTGAAGGGGTACACAGGCGTAATCCACTTCCAGGCAAATGATTTGATCTTCCAGATCCTCATGGATGACTGTTGTGTCACTCCTTTCTAGATGGACATTTTTGCCTTTATTTCGTTGACAATGTACGGTATAATAGGTTTTTTTCGTACTTCCCAGGCGAACTGAAAGATAACCTGTAGTGTTTTTGGTCCTTGAAGCATTAGGGGAATGAAAGAAGAATTGCAAGAATATGTATTGGATGTTGCAATGCTGAAGTCAATGTCAAAACACAAAATGACTCCACCATTTCAAATGATGTATAAAAAAAATTGGTAGTGACTTCACGACGACATATATTTCAGTTCTGGTAACGACAGAATAGAAGAAACATGTACTATAGCAATATACCGAGCGTTCCTTCTAAGACAGAGGAAAAAACTGCGGCAGTACGTTGATAGCAACTAAAATCCTCACACGTAGATAATGCATTTTTTGGGGCCAGTTACTCTCGGAGGAATAATTAATCAATAGAGATTAATACAGCAACTTCCGACAAAACGGCAATCATTGCCACTGATAAAAGTCGCGGTCACATCACATATTTAAACTGTTATTGTTTTTAGTATTCGGAGTTTGGCTTAAAGCAACTAGTGAAAACCACACTGAGGCTGTTTTCGCACGTGAGTCTCTGAAAACGACCGTTTGAAGGGGGTGCTTCTTCGATAAAGTTGCGACTCATACACGGAAACATTTATAACGGCAAACATCGCAAAAACGAAAACAAGACATTAATACTTTGCATAATTTTTACCAATTGAATGTTAAAAAAAGAGAGTGACCACTTCTCCAATTATGTATTGGCTTAAGAGTGCAGTTACGAAAACTGGTGATTTTTTTACTTTTTTTTTAGTTTTTACAGACATTAAAATTGAGAAGTGTTCCGTAAAAAATTACGTAATCGCAGCCCCGAAACTTGTCTGCCTCGTCTGTGTACGGTCGTAATCGCACTTACCGGGAACAGGGGAACGCTTGGCATCAGACGCTATCAGAGCATTCGGCATGGCAAGGCTGCAGTAAAGTGATTCGGACGGTCTGCAGTTGTAGCTGGGCTGGTAGGCTGTTCTGGTAGTACCCGAGAACACGCGCACTTATGTTCCCGGTAACCTTTATTGAGATAGTATGCTTCGTGAACAGTTGAACTTTTATAAATACACGTAAACTAATGTCAAATCCCGGAACTCAACGGGGGCTCTCCAAACTTAATCCTTGTTTTGGAGAAAAATAAGATGGAGCAAATGTATACATACCAATAGCAATGAGCAGCAGTCAAAACAAACTGGCGGCTTATTAAAACGCCACCACATTTGAATTGGTCTTCTGCATTATACAGCCCCACCATCCACGGCCAGTGGCCAGGAGTCGCCTCGGTACCATTAATAATTCGCTCAGAAACGGTATCCTGCACTCCTCGTCGTCCACATATGTCAATTAAATCATCTTTCTCCTTGTTTGCGTATCTTGAGCAGACCCCTGCTGTAAATGGCAAATAGGAGATAACCGTGTTTCTATGAGGAGATCTAGGAGGTTTTAATTATTATTAATAACAACCTAAAAATAGTTAGGGAAAGTTTGTTGGGCTGAGATGGATCAGTTCACTTACACTGCTTTCATAGAAATTCAGCTGTGCAGGAATAATCAAATGATTCCAAATCGACTAAAGTAAATAATTCCGAACAATATTACGTGACTCACTAAGAAGGTTGACATCGCTTTCTTGAGAACTACAGTCACATTTTGATTAAATCCTTCCTCTTACATTTATTTATAATATAAAATTTACGTATCTTGGTGAGGTTTGCAGAGATACAACAGATAAACAACGATAAAAGCAATAAACCATGAATGAGATTATTTTCTTCAGCAAAATCTTAAGCAAGCTACAGCTTTCTGAATTAAACGAAGAACACATCACAGTAGATAAATATTTCTGTCGTGGTGTCACCATTGATGAATATCTCATAGCATATTATTTAAAAAAAAGCCCCTAAAAAGAAAGAAAAAAATTAATAGTTTGGATGGGACACGCGGGTCAAAAAATTACTTTGCGCGAAAAAAAAAAAAAAAGAACAAAGTATCTTAGAGCAATATTGATGGCGCCAGGCGCGGTTTATTCGGCGGTCCCCTCCTTTCCACTTGTTTCTTTCTCTCGGCATTTCGGGCGCGTGAAGGAGAGGTGGATCAATCGACTTCGCCTTCACGACCGAAATGGTCATTCCGGAATTACCCGTGACGTCATGGACTTTGCGCACAGAATTTCAAATAAATCTCTCGCGGTCAATATGGCTCTAAAATATATTTTTTTGCATAAAATTTATTTGTCGACACGCGTGTCCCAACCAGACTGTTAAACATTTTTTTTTGTTTTCAAAGGCCCTTTAAGGAAGTGTAGATATGAACAAAAGGAGGTTGGTCACACTGTGTTGTAGGCTCCACATTCTATTCCTGAGACCTTTCTAAGTACCCTATTTTCTTCGTGGTAACATTTTTTGTAATACGTGCCCATCTAAGCACTGTCAACATTTTTTTTTTTTAATTTCAGCTTTTTGTATTTAGAAGCCCCATAACAAAGGCCACAATAAATAAATGTGGCACAAATGAGCACTCCATTTCAGAGCTGAGATTGTGCTCAAATGAACATAAGAGCGTTGTATATGTCACTTATGCCCCAGTCCCACTAGAGCGACAGACAGAAACAAAAGAGAGCGACAAGCCTCAAACACAGGTAGCATGCTCACGATGGTACTTTCGGCAGGCGTTAGGTTCGGTGCTCGCGAAGGAAGCACGAGTGGTTGCAAGCCTGCCAAATACACCCTCGCGTGTATGGTGCTCGTGTTTGAGCATAGCCACCTTTATTCTACAAAGCCTGTCAAATCGCGAAGGACACTGGATTGAGGCCTGTCGCTGTTTGTTTCTGTTTGTTGCTTAGTGGAACTCGAGCGTCACAAAACGCAGTTGGACAGGATACAAACTCGCAACGCATTTTGTGCAGCACTCAAATTACTTTGAATATGCAAGGTCTTGAATAGAACACAAACAAATTTCGAGATGTAAACTAGCTATTTTTGCAAATATTTGACAAGCTGAGAAGCAAGTGATGAAGTTATATTTTTTTTAAATATTAAAGAAAATATAGTCTCCTCACTTATATCTTTCTCAGTAAAAATCTAATACTGCGGTGATCCCTCTAGGGGCCCTTCACCACCATCAGAAACGACTTCCCCTGGGAAACCTAGTTGCCATTAGTTTAATCTACTTCACACGGATCTTGATTATAAAACAGAATTGGAGAATGTAGGCGAAGAGATCGTAGAATAATTATGGCGTAGAGGGGATTCAGCTTGATTTATGCATGGCACCTGCTGTTCTATTGTCTGTCGGCAGGCCCGCTTCATAAACCGTTCGGATATGACAGCACAGAGGTGTGGCTTCCATAACCCGAGAAACGCGCAAATTATTCCCAGGGTCGCCCCGGCTTTTAATTATCTACGTGCTCAGTCGAGCTGCGTGTTATTGTAAGAAAAAAAGCTTGATTTATCTTGATACTACGGATAAAGTCATAAAAGCAAAATGTGTTTACGCGCAATACTTTGGCGTTTGTGATGGACATTGCAGCTTCTCATTTCCTTGGTTATTTCATGTAATTTTATTCTAGCTTTTGTTTTTCAAGTAAACTGCCGATTATTGGAAATTTCAGTGAACTTTTCGAATGTGGACGAAATACTGCCCAAAGCCTGTGCTCGCGTAGGAACGGTTAGTACAAACTACCGTAGTAGATACAAAGTCACCTAGCCTTGCGTCTATAGGCCACATGCAAAATTCTTCCCAACTATCATCATCATGCTATTCGCATCCGGCATATTGTTCCCTTTCACATCTTCCAGTTGTGGACGAGGCGCATCTCCATTTAAAAAGGTTTTCATGATATTAGGAGAATTTATTTGTGCACCGAGTGAGTTCCTGTTTAGTTTCGGTTTAAGAAGAAACGAAAAACAGTAGCGATATTTTGTAAAATGAATAGGCTACTTCCGAAATTTCCTGCATACAACACTGCGTATGTGGCATTATGGGGCACCTTAGGACATGGTAGGATGTACCACACCCTAGCCATGGAAAGGAATGAAGTGGTTTCGGTTTTGATCGCCGCGTCTTCTCAGCACTGCAGGAAAATTAATTCAACGCTCGCTTATTGCACCCATTCACCTTCGTGACAGGCTTTGTTGAAACACAAAGCTACTGGGGCAGTATCGACATGCCTAGAGTTAGCGAGGAGTAGGAGTACGGCGGGCCGCGTCCCATCCCTATTGAAAAATTCAGCGAGAACTTCCAGTGACTTCCGGTGAAAACTGGCGAAGTGTCACCCAATTTCACCTGAATCCAGCTCAGTTTACCAGTATTTAATATAAGAATTGCCGGCAGCTGCTATCGGTTACCACATTTTGCTGCAATTAAACCGGCAGCCACTTTCGTTTGCCAGACAACCCGGCTTTGCTGGAAGTTTCACCGGCTGTTCTTCGTATCCCCATGCACCCTCTCTCCCTTCCATTGGGTGCGTGCAAAAAATGTGAGGGGGACTTTTTGCTGTCTCTTTTGAAGAGAACCGGTTTGTTTGTCTGTCAACGAGAAACGGCAACGAACGGACGCTCAATGTCGGCCTTCGGTACCATGCGCGCGACCTGTATCGTGCAGAGCAGCTGACTGTCCAGATAAACAAAATCTTCCAGTGACCCTTATTTCCGCCTCTTCGCCCCTTCGACTTCAGAAGCATCCAGCGAGGAAAAAAAACGCCCGAGATGCCATTGTGTCAGCATCAGGGACGACGTGTGACTGTGCCGATGATTTCTCAACAGTGGCGGATGTTGGTTGCGCGTTATTGGTTTTCGCTAAACGTGCTACTGACAGCGTGTGTCTGCGTGTGTGTCGGTGTGGTTCGCCTGCTCAGCTTTATTAGTTGAACTACCGTACATCTAGGAGTTTACCCAGCGGCATTGTGAGTACATTTAAATATATTTTTTGCGACAATTAACTCGGTTTCCTATTTGTTCTGATTTCTTTTGTCTACAGCTTTTCAAATTATTTCACTGGTATCGACCCTGTGAAATGAAGGGGAACTGTCATGTCTATATGAACCAACCGTTTTTATTATTACCGAATCGTCCAGTATCTGGTAAACTTGTACCAGCCACAATTCACAGGCTTCTTTCTAAGTGCCTTCTGTTGACGTCCAAACAAAACCAAGTACGTTTCGCTCAATTCCGGAAAATCCGGTGATATCTGATAAATTCTGGTGAATTCAGGAAAATTCGGTGACTTCCGGTAAGTTCCGGTTTTACCGGGAATAAAAAGACACTTAATTCAGTAAAATATTTGTCTTTCCTGGAAATGAAATGCCGCAAAACATTCGGTGACTTCCGGTAAATTCCGGCTTCACCGGTAGTGAAAAAAGTCCCATAATTCAGTAGAATAATTTTTTACTGGCAGTGAAATTTCGCTAAAGAAATCTTTTTCAATAGGGATACTTTCCTGGCAGCCTGGCTACAACCCAAGAGTGCAGTGTGACCCTCCCGAGCGACGGATGTTTTTTAGGAAGTCTAGGGCAATGGTGAACATACACAAGCTCGCCTGCCCTCTCACAGTAATTTCGTAGAAATTATTTTTTATACTTTTTAGATGTATGCATGGACGTTAATGCAACAGCGTAATCATATAATTAGCGATAAAATTATAACGATTAATCGGGTTAGAATTTCAATACATTCCTGGTCCCTCTTAAAACATAAAACAGGTTTGAGCAAGGTCTTTGAATTTAAGATCATTTAATGATTGAAATAACAACACTGCATACCAGTCCAGGATTTGAGTGCCTAACTGTATTGATGAGGGAAACATTACAAATATATTTTTTTTTATATCTGACATTCCTTACTAATGTTCCATGTATGTAGCAATTCAGTCGTTTCGTTCAACGCAGTATCTGTATACGACAAGGAACGTTGCATTAAAATTAACGCTAATGGTTATCGAAAAACGTTATCGCAGATTTTCAACACTGAATTTTTTACGCTTGGCATCTAATACTTAAAGTGCAGATCCACGTAATGAGCAACGTGCAGAATATACCAATTAAAGTGAAGGGGAAACTCATAACAACGATACGTTCAGAATTATGTTTTTCTGCGTTTGTATATGAATCTCGAAAGCATTTTTTTCATCATTTCATAACAGGATACACAACGGTCCCATTGTGGATCCTGTTATTTCGCAGCTAAGCATTTGCTAGGTAGCCAACTTCTGGTTTGAGCGTAAACAATTTATTGAACAACACGGAAGTTTCTTGAGAACTGCAAATGTCGAAGAGCATGCACATGTATGAAAGGACAAAACCTTAGACAATTTCGTTTTAATGTTAGCTTTGTGCTAAAACTACGCGTAACGTTTGTTTGTTTTTCTTTTCTTTTCAATACGGCACATTTACCGGGAATCTTGTCTTCCAGAACATCCGTTCTGCTCGAAGCCGATTTCTCATTCCGTAACGCAGTGCTTCCATCTTCGCCGTCTAAATAAATCACGCACGATAAATGGGACCCGTCCTGCGCTTACTTTTTTGTGTGATTTGGTTGAGCCGGTGATTTCAAACACACAAAAACGATGAGAGCCATGACCATGCACATTTGGCGGTGCACGCCTGGCTCCATCGGGTCGTAACGTTGGCTGGGTTGGGGCTAAATGTAAAATTTAGCAGAAGGAAATATTACCAGTCTTGCGACGTAGGGATTAGCGGATAGCGATTGTACTTTGCATTTTGTAGATATTAGCAAGTGACCTATTGAAAGATACCCTTGAATTATTGGCGGAACATTCTCAATCTTTCAGACTTTTGGGGGAAGTTTAACCAGTCAAAAAGTTATTCAAGGTTACATTTTGCTCAAATTGTACCCACTAAGGCCCCCGGGTAATCTTTTTATTTTTTCTCAGTCCCAGATTCCGGATATATTTTTGAGGAATTAGAGTGTTTTGGTCATTGATCGTGAGAGGAAATGTTTACTTACCGAAAAATGTGCTGACAAGACGCATGAAACCGAGTTGGCGTGAGCTCATATTTCCTACATACAAGACACGCCGCTTTCGTTTTCGAGCGTTTAAACCAGGTAATTTATTATATCTAAGCTGTCGATGAATGAGAGAAGCCTCTGGCTAGAGCTACGTTCAGTTATACATATACTAAAAAGCCTCTCGCGAGTGGGCCTCTGTTTTTTTATAAGCTCTTGACGTCTGGCATACGTCCGAACTAGCGCTGACGTCAGGATTCGCCCATCCCGAGCAGATGCCAGGGAGCCAATCAACGCAAACTACCACTATCATCTGTACCTGGGTCACCGCGACCCAGAGCCGTATATGTGGAGAGTTTGGCCATTCGTTGGGAAGTATAGGAGACAAATGAGGAGGCGCCATTGGCCAAAAGCGAAATGGGCGTGTTCCAAGGGCGTCTTCAGAAATTCGAATCTGACCAAAAAGAAGCCGGAAATAATACCCTGGCGGTGGTCGAAAGAAACAAACCTGATAAGTGCATCGGAGCAATTCTCGGTGACCGAAAATGTGGAACACGTGATGTTTCAATCACGCTCATCCAAAATGATGGTGGAACAGTGCGACTAGCGGAACGATCGACATAATCCTTACGCCAAGCGGCGAGGGCCGGGAATCTGCCGTCCGAGCGGTCACACTCTGTCCGAGCAAAACAGAGTGGAGCGGCGCATTCGGTTCTCACATTTTTCTGCATGATCATGATCGAAACATCACGTGCACCCTATTTTAAACCACAAAGCGTTACTATACTTCACTCTTACGCGCTTAATAATACACTTTGCGAACATATACCTATGGATCAGAACTCTTTCTCGCTACCACCGCTAGAGAATTCTTTTCGGCTTTGGGTTGGTCAAGAGATCATGCCAAGCCCTCTTCCGAGTCTTGAGCATGCCCTGGCTCTGCCCACGCCTCCTATTGACCAAACTCTCTCTATGCACGGCTCTGCCGCGACCCACTGATTTCTATGTCTATTTGCTAGATGGCGTTTAACCAGCTCTGCCTAGGGACGTGAATGCGACCACGGTCGTTCATCTTTTGGATAGAGTTATATTCTGTCTAGACATTATAGTAATTTGGCGGACAGCGTTCTGGCAGCAGGGTGCCACAGAAATAGCCGTGGGTCTAGTACACTATACCGTGGTTGATATTTCGTGATTGATTAAAGTTATTCGACGAAGCAGATTATTGAAACCCAGCGTCAACGGTAGCCTCATCTTTGAGGACCCGGCGAAAGTTTTACGAAAGCGCAGCACCGGGGGAAAGCAGCGGAGCTAGCATCGAAAGCAGACGCCTTACCGGGAATGGGCCCGTCCGCGGTTTGACATTGTTGACAAATGGTGGTGTGATTTCGTTGGTGGTGAAGTCTTATGCTTCTGAACCCTTGGATACGGACCAAGAGACGCCGTGGATGTGCTCGCCATCATTTGGGGACATTCGCGAGTTGATATATTCCCCGGGGTCTCTCCACAAACTTGTGTGCCGATGTGCCCGCGAGTGAATTATATATTTTTATACCATATATTCGCCTTCGACATTCTAAGCAAAATTCCTTTAAACGAAGTGAATTGTTCACGGCCTATTGATGAAGGGGGGCCCCTTTGCTGAAGGAGCACTATTTTCATAAGACATAAGAGGGGCCGGAGATACGCAAAAGCGTGTGTGCGCCCCACCATCGCTCAAAGCCGCTTTCGTTGCGATCTGTGCTGCTTTTCCCCGGTGCAGTGAATTCGTGAAGCTTTCTTCAAGTCCTCAAAGATCAGGCTACCGTTCACACCGGGTTTCAACAATATGTTTCGTTGAGCGATTTCAATGAACACGAAATATCACACACGGCTATTTTTATGGCAGCCTGCCATCAGAACTGCCACAATGCTGTCTGCCATAGATAGATGATAGTGGCTGTACCAGCTCTACCCTATCTAATAGGCGGTAGATCGCGCCACCATACTCTTTGTTTCGTCGCCTGTTCCTTCGTGACTATATACAATATACATTGTCGAAAGCACGCACTTCACGACGATCGGACGGAATCCGGCTTATTTAGAGATTGTTTTGAAGACAGATGTTTTTTTTTTTCGGTATTAAAGCAAGAAAAAAACGGGAATTAAAGTGTTCCGTCCTTTACGCAGGACCAAACAGCTATTTTCCGAGAAGACCGGGAACATAGCCAGGAATACTTTCAAACTTGCCTCTACGGGAATAATTAAGAACGTCGAACGACCCGCGTAGCGAGCTGCTTGACGCATGCTTTCTTCATTGGTTTGCCGCCAAATCCGAGCGGGCTACGAGACCTTGTATTTCATGGTTCTCAAAGCGGAAGATGATACCAAACGGGAAAGAATCCTTAAGAGACAAATAGATCAAAACTTTCAAGAAAGTCCGGCAAACACCCAATGCACATTACAGGTTGGGAGTCGCGCTCACCAGGTTTGAACAGCTTAGAAGGGATACAGAAATTTGTGGCTGATAGGGGTCGTCCGGGTCGGAAAATGGGGCATCTGCAAAGCTGTTTTTCTTTAAAGCACGCGGTTGCTCGAGCAACTTGAACGCCGATCGAAGCCGCGCACGAGAATTCTTCACTTCTAAAACGTCACAAATGTGATGGGCTATACTCATAAGCGTCTCTCTGTGGTAATGACGAGAAAGATATCAGGGGGACGTGGGAAGAACTGACGTTTGTGTAATTCGCCAAATAGTGCAGGCTTTCTTGGTTTTGGTTTCAATTCGGGTTTTGGCGTGACTGACACGCATTTGCTACTGTTCCTTTTTCCTATGAGTATGCGTTTGAGGTTGCTGAGTCGCGATCGCCGAGTATGCAAGCATATTGGCGAATCTTATCCAACGTTTCTTTTGTTTCTAAATAAAAACCAAAGCTCTGACTGAAGTGCAAGGGCAGCAAAACAAGGTAATTTACACCGTGAAAAATCAAATCGAATTTTATTTATCTTGTGACTGACACAGATATGCGACAACAATTTAAGAAATGCCGTGAATTTCATCAGCCCTGCACTGCTTTGAGGTCATGAATGGGCAAACTCGTCTATTGCTGAAAAATCATAGCGTGGAAGCGGTATACAAATATATGAACATGCACACGCTACGGCGCGAACTCTATTTGGATCGCGTTCAGTTATTTCTAGGCCCACGAGGGAGGCCTCGGCGCACCTCAGCTCGGAACACGTATAGCGAAAGCTAGCCCAGCAGAACCCAGGGATCTCGGGCTCAATACCCACTCCTGCTGTAGCACGGCCAAATGTAGCACGGCCGACGCGTGCTACATTCGTTTTGAACATCGCATTGATATTCTATTTTTTGCTTACCCTAGGATGTAAAGTTAAGGTAACTCTACGAGACAAATAGATTCCTCTTAGAAGTGACGGTCACTTGGGACAATGGAAGAGTAGGTGTTGGAGCGAATAGTTACAAATTTGCGTTGGGTAATTGTATATGTAGTTCCTTGTATTTTTTACTGACGTGTACAAGCCTGCATGCGTGTGATGCGTTCGGCCGATTGATGACGTGTGCAATTGTTGAGCAATATAAAGTGAAGGAGATACGATGCTAACTGCGCGAGCAAGGCAAATATTTTTGTGTCCTTTGAATTAGGTAATACCTTGCACGACCTAGCGTCTTGAGCTAAGTGGCAACTATACATTTACTGCAGTTTCTATTCGATTTTAAGCCAATGTAGTGGTTTCTACTTGGTCTCGCGGATTACACTATTTCCATTTACTAACTTCCTTGGTTAGTGACTGTTAAGAGCACACCTATTACTAGATGCAGTTTGTAAGAGGTTGGTAATATATCTAACAACCAGTTACGAATCTAAAGTCTTTAAGTACTACATCCTTATTTCTCAAAATATATTTTAATTACGCTGGCCAAAAGGACAACGCAAACATAACCAGCGTTTTCTCTGACGCAGCGCATTAAGCAGCACGAATATCTAACCGTCAACTTTTTACCCCGGGTAAAACCATTGACCAAGTAAATATTTCTGATGAGAACATCCCAGTTTTACGATAAACAGAAAGAAAATAGTTAGTGCCGTTACGTGTTTTATACGCTTTACACATGCAAGGGATGAGTTCTTAATATACTGACACTGGTATAAAGGGTTTTCATAAGGTTCAATGGCAGAAAGTTAAAAACAACTGTAACGCCGGAGTCAGACTGCCCATATATCTTATAAAAGTAAGCCTGCGAATGCCGCGTGACAAGTTTTTCCTTGAACGCATTTCCATGCGGCATTCAAAGCACACATTTCTCGGTGACTTGCGCTAGAATATGAATGTAGACTGCGTTTTCTATCATGTATAAGAAGCGTGACTCCGGCTTAACGGTACAAACTGCGCCGACAGTCGAATCTAATGATTATCACGTTTCCTTCAATGTACCTTCGCCATACTCGCTGCAGATGTGTACGGACAGAGATGAGGCAACGTAAAACCATGCACTTTATTGATTAGCAAACCACATTCTAAACGGGAGCGCGGAAAGTGGTACTCCTAAAACTACAAAACGGCCTTTTAGACCTGAACGTGAACGTAAGGAGGAACCAACAATCTTAAAGATTAATGAAATGTCCGTCCCTAGTTATCACATGTGTCAAGCTTATAAAGCCAGAATTTGAAGCATAAACTAAGAGTCTACTAAAATGAGTGTTACTGAGCAGGCGAGCTGTTGAAAGTTCATAGAGAAAAAAACTTCAAGACCAGAAACAAAAAAAAAAAAAAAAAAAAAAGGGACAACCACCACACAACGTCGCCAAAATAGAGACGGTGCTGTGTTTGTCCCCTTTTTTTGTTACTTGTCTCGATGTTTATTCACCATGATGAGTCTGCTACTTTGAGCGAAACCTGACTTCAGGCTTAACAGAAATATTACATTTTTAAATTGGTAATAAAACTTCCTGGGGTCTACATACTATGAAAAGAGCGAAACAATTCTGTCAAACCGAAGTAAATGTTTATCCTAATTAGATTTAATTGAAAACAGATACTGACAAT